GGTACATATTCTCAAACCTATTCTTTTGCTACATGGATTGTAGAATAACAATCATATCACAGCTATTACTGTTTTTATTAAGAGGCTCTAATGAGAGCTATTTGAATTAAAAAAATAGTTAATATTTATGATTATTATATTGTGATATTTAAAATTCGACTCTGTGCCCATTGTATTAAAAAAAAAAAACGGGAATTTGTATAGTTATATGGTGAGCGGTTTTGAAACTTCTTTTCTTTCAGCACATTCCCGAAAAACGCGGGGTATTATTTTGTTTATATTAAAATGAGCTTTCGTCTGAAATTAAGAATATTATATATTTTTACTAATGGAGCGTACTACCCATCTTCTTCTCACCGAATGCTCACTTAATTTAAAGTTTGTTTTATCAAATAAAACAAATTTTTGGACAAATTAAACGTACTTGTAGTTTTCTTTTATGTATTTGATAAACGGGAATTTGCATATTTACTTGTATATATTGCGTGTATAATGAATGCCAAGAATGGTGAGCGGTTTTGAAAATTCTTTTCTTTCTAGGAAGTTATATTTTCCAGAAAAAAAAAAACATAGTGTATTTTTAACATTAGGCAAAATGAGCTTTCGTCAGAAATTAAGAATATTATAGTTTTTAATTAATCGAGCGTACTACCTATTCTTTTCTCTCCGAATGCTGACTCTCTCTAATGAAAGGTATCTGTGCTCGTTGTATTAATAAACAAACAGTAATAGTTTGCGGTGCGGTGGTGTTGGGTGAAAATTAATGTGTTTTCGTGGAAATCGGTCAATTTTGTGCTGAATAGTTATATGTAGGGTTTAAAGAAAAATGAAGAAAATGTACCAGTAGGATATAGTTTTTTTGTGTACCCAGGATTTGATGCTGTGAGTTTTTTGAATGATGTAGTCGGATTTTTGAATGTTCTATTCCCAATGTATTTATTTTGGAAATGTCTTGTATTAGAAATTTTTGTTACTGTGTATCTCCTGCCTGAATTGCATTTTAATTTAACAAAGTTAATCTTTTTTTTAATATTTGCACACTTGCGAACTAAAAATGATATATTAACAGATTATTTCGATAAACGAATAATACATTTTCTATATAAGTAACTTATATTTTTACAGTACGATGGGTTGCCTATATGATGCACTAGTAATCACAAAGAGTATTTGAAATTATATTTTCCTGGAAATTAAATGGGTGTTCATTAGTCTAGATCAGTGATTCTCAACCGGTGGTTCGCAAACCCCTGGGGGTTCGCAGTGTTTGCAGAGGGGGTTCGCGAAAATAATATTGTAATGGCGAATTTTTTAGAATGCCATTAAAATCAAAAGCAAAAAAAAACAAAACAAAAACACAAAAATTAAAGAACACACGCACTGTAAAACAGATTCTTCGCTGCCTGTTTGTTAAGAAATCTATAATAAATTTCAATATTTTCATTTCTTTTTTACTNTAGAAGCCCTTAGCTAAAATGATACTCTATTTATCAAATTGAAAGATATGCTAGATATATAATTACTGAAATTCATTACCAATACAACATTTCTTCCGATATAAACATAAGATCCTATGTTTGCAGCATTAACTACAGATCTCTCACCAACATATACATGGTCACCCATAGTTAAAGGAAAAAATGCAACCCTAAAAGATAATGGCATTAATCCGTTAAATGATATTACAGTATGAACAATCTAACCCTTTGCTAAACTTTTTGTAAGGCGGTCTTATTACTGCTTCCTTACTAATGATACAGTATCTGCCAGTTTTTACATTAGCCAAATCTCCTCTTATTATAGCATCAGATTGGATAATGACTTTTCCTTGTAGAACTATGTTTTGAGATCCACACAAAACTGTTCTACGACTTACACGATTTCCAGAGGCCTAGTAAAAAGATAATTATCTTCTAAGTGAAATAAAACTTTTAAAGTTAAAATCTTACTGTTTCAACGTATTCACTTCTATCATAATTAATGTCTCGCATTTCCATTTTCACTTAGAATGCTGAATCTGATTCACAAATAAACTTGGCTGTTATAACCTCAAACTTAACTCCATAGATTTACTTGTCTATTTCATTAAAAGGTGTAAGAATAATCTTTCAAACTTCTTATTAATTCTTTTATATTGTATACCTTTATTTTAAAACAGGTATATATTATTTAAAAGGAAGCTACAACTTGCAAATTATAATTTGTATAAATTAGAAAGAATACTTTAATAGTACTTTATTATTCTTGATTAGAATCTACATTTTCAGTTTGTACTCCTTTAAAAGCCGCAACAGGCACATACGTAACCAAGGTAAAAAGTTTATGAGCGGAGTCTTCATCATCATTTCGTCTGCGAGAGAGTCTCACTCGAATTCGGAAAGGTACATTCCTAAAAACGAAAATAGGAGGAAACAGGATAATACAAATATGCCGTCAATTACCTTATGCCTTTTGACCACAATTGCTTGTTTAGTCTTGTATCAATTCTTACATCAGGGGTTCCCATTTGTTTTTCTGCAAATTTTCTAATTTCCTTAATTGCTCTTGGAGCTCGTTTCTTAAACCCAACTCCATGTAACCTTTTATGTAGATTTACAGTGTATTCTCTGGTAACAACTTCATTAATTGCAGATTTTCCTTTTTTCTCGCCCTTCTGTTTTGCCATTTTATGTATATTCTAACCCTATCTATAACATCCAAAAAGTTGTTTCAACTTAAAAAATCTTCCTAAAACGACTGAAGCACAGTTTCTAAAATATTGTAAAATTTGCCTTTGGAAAAAAATATTAATATTTATTACGATGTAAACTGATAAAAGTAATATTTACCTACACGTCCGATCACAGTAACAAAAGGGGTTATGTGCATAGATTATGTTGGCTCTGTGGGTTATGACCATAGACGTTATGCCCATAGATAGATTGTGACCATGTTGTGGCGTTATGGCTATTAGACCGTATCACAGAAAAGTATCGATTCTTTGGTAATTCTAGGAACAATTCCTTACTATTTATGATGAATTTGACACCCGTTATAAATTATTTACTTATTTAAACATTACCAATAAATTGGACATCGTTTGTGCGTCCTAAATATGTTTGTAATGTAATTGTAAGACTATTTGTTTTGCTTAAATTTTTAATTAGTGTGAGGCGTTACTTTAGCCATTATACGTAAGTCAGCTATTTTATTATTATTTTATCTGTGGTTACTTGTCAGTTTGTGTTCTATGGCTTGTGTCAGTTGCTATGTTTGATTTCATTTATTTAAAAGAAAATATAAAAACCCATGAAATATGAATTGGAGAAGAACGCAGACAAAATAGAAAACGTAATAATAATCTCTCATTTTGCTTGTCTTTTTATTATTTTGTATCCACTGATTAATATAACTAATTCCTTCCTTTTTGTGTTTTTAGTGTCACTCTGGTCAATGGCGATACAATTGTGCCTTTCCTGTGCTCCATTTGCTGTTCTTTTATAGAATTTGAAAGATACTACATTTAATATGGTAGGATTTCACCATTTATGTTTCAGAGTAATTGTTGTGCTTTAGAATCTAAAATATTCAGGAGTTTTTGTTTTCAAACTCACTGAAAAACTTATCAATGATCACAGTGTCTTAGTATTCTAAGTTGTTAATGTGTGATAATTGTTATTTATATGACATGTACAGTATGCAAAAATAATCAGAAAGAAATGTTAATCTTTTTTTGAAACACATTATTCTTTAACTTAATTGATTGACTTGACCCTCATTTCATTTCATTTTGTTGTAGTATATTGAACTATTTACCTACTGAGTTTTCTCTCCCGCTAGTGTTTTGGGTTTTTGACTTTCAAGCCACTAACACTACATTGAAATGGTAGGAATTTTTGTACCATTAAAGAATTTTATATTTAAAAAGTACCAGAGTATACTTTCAACACCCAATTTGAAAACGTTTTTATTTCTTGAAAGTACATAAAAGGATTAAAGTTGTTGTGGGGCAACAGGGGGAAGAATTTTATACTTGGGAATTACCGTGGTGTACCTTGAACCCCCTTTTTACTTATTTTTTTGAAAAATATGTTGAAAGTAAAAAAAGAATTTTGTATTTTAAATTAAAAACGTTATCATTTCTTAGTAAATTACTTACTAAATGAGTTAAAAATACTAAAGTTCTTGTTATACATCAGTGAAAACAACATTATAGTGGTAAATTATCAGGGTGCACTTTCAACCCATCAATTTAAAAACGTCGTTTTTGTTTTTTGATATATTAACTTCTTCGTTATGAAACTAACTGAAAGTACCAAAACTTATTAAATGAGTCGTGGGTAGATAGGGACTAAAATTATGTAACTCAACCTTACGAGTAAACATTTTAAACCCTCTTTAAAGACGGAGTCTAAGGGAATAAAAGAATTAAAACTGATAATGCAGCACTGCAATGAGAATACTTTGCAGTACAATGGGTTGCCTACGAACAGATTTTTAATTATTTTAAATTTAAATTGTATGATACCTTCGCGCGAAATTGAAACGCTATGTGTGAGTCGAAGTTTGCAAGCATAAATATATTTTTGCTTGAAAAAGTAGTTCTTGGGGATGAACAATTAGGGAGTGTCATGTATATGTGTGAGGTCGTGAATTACCCTGTTTATTTTTTATATATTATAGCCTGTAAACAATATTCTTTCTGTTTCAGCATCCTGAACAATTTGCCTACCATAAGAATACTTTGGACTTCACTTTAGACTTTTAAAGAAAGGTAAGACTTTATTTAACAGTTTTTCTTAATATTTTCTTACTAAAATCGTAATTGTTTTAGCACTTCGAACAATTCGCCTACGGAGTTTTGTCTGTGTTTTGGGTTATTGACTGTAATTGTGATGGACATCAGAACGTTGTTACAGAATTATTTTTGCCAGTTGATGCACGCGACATTCAAAAGGTAGGATTATTTTTTTGATCTTTTCTTTAAATTTAAAATTAATTTTTTCCTTATTAAACGAGCCGAAAGTGTCAAAATGTAATAACTTTGCTATGGGACATCAGTGAGAAGAACTTTATAGTTCGAAATCACCGGAATGCACATTCAACCCCCAATTTAAATACGTCGTTTTTTTTTTTTGATAAATGAATTTTTCGTTTATGAAATAAACTGAAAGTACGAAATATATTAACGTTATAGGGCATCAATGAGAAGGATTTTATAGTTGAAAATTATCGGGGTGCGTCTTTAATCTCTAATTTAGGTAGTTTTTTGAAAACGATGTCATTTAAGGAGTTAGATCTGCTTGACCATGAGAATACTTTGCAGTACGATGGGTTGCCTATATGATGCACTAGTAATCACAAAGAGTATTTGAAATTATATTTTCCTGGAAATTAAATGGGTGTTCATTAGTCTAGATCGGTGATTCTCAACCGGTGGTTCGCAAACCCCTGGGGGTTCGCAGTGTTTGCAGAGGGGGTCCGCGAAAATAATATTGTAATGGCGAATTTTTTAGAATGCCATTAAAATCAAAAGCAAAAAAAAACAAAACAAAAACACAAAAATTAAAGAACACACGCACTGTAAAACAGATTCTTCGCTGCCTGTTTGTTAAGAAATCTATAATAAATTTCAATATTTTCATTTCTTTTTTACTTATTTGTTTTTCAAAATT